TGTCTGTGTGTGTGTGTGTGTGCGTGTGTGTAAAGTTTTAAAAAAATAAAGAAAGGAAAAGAAACCCCGAGAGGCCCAGTAACAGGCCACGGAATCCTACAGCAGGTATTCTTCGATCCAACTAATTAAGTGCGGTAAATGTTTACCTTTTGAGAAGAGGTATCTATCCCGCTTCCATTCTTACTTAGCTAACTCTAACCAATTCCTTTCTGGGGATCATGCACATAGGAAGGAGTTCTCCCTCAGCTCAAGAGTGAAGCAAGAGAATTAGTCTTAGGCCCCTGGCCACAATGCTTACTTCAGGGATGAGAACATGACTCATTACAGCCAGTCACAAGTACACCTAGTTGAGATACAGGGAAAAAAGATTCTTGTGGTTTCTCAAGAACTTGCAAGAGCTGATGTCATATGGTTTGGAGCTGCTAGAGAAATTCTGCTAACCAGAAGGTTAGCCTGTGTGAGAATGAAGCCAACCCAGAGATGAAAGAAACTAGATTCATCTTGTGAATCCCTGTATCAAGCTGTGCCTAAAGCTATCCTATCCTTGAACTTTTCTGTCACATGAACCAATAAATGCCTCTTTTGCCCAGCTAACTTGGCTTGTCTGTCACCTGCAAATAAAATGAATCCTGACCCATACAGCAGAGAAAGTTATTGAAAGTTAGTAGGCTGAAATATACAAAGAGCTTGGGCAGAAAAATGAGCCTATTGTCTAGACAAAGGCCTTGTAACAAAAGTAGACATTAATTGGCAGTTCTTTCTCTGGCCTTCACCCAAAGACTACCACCTACCAAGACATGACAGATCTCCAACCTGCTCTCTGCCATCAGGGCCCCTCCCCACAGCTCCTAGAAATTCTGAGGAAGCACAGGCAGAATCTTCTTCCACCCCATCCCAGCTGTCATTCTAACCAAAGCCTAAAGTAGAGAATCCTGGGTTAGGCCTAAAATCTGGATTTTCATCCAGCCTGGGCTACTCTGCTATGTAGCCCGGGGCTAGATTTCTTGACCTTTCTGGGTAACAATACTAGCAAGAAGAAATGGGAATAGAAGGGAATATACAGGCCAGAGGTGTGAGGTAACAGAAAAATACATATTGGTTTCCGCCCTGTTCTTGACGCAGAGCTTCTTAAACCCTTGTAATTTCCTGAGTGATAAGAGGACGAGGAGCAACTATTGTTCTACTGAAGTGACACCAGGTGGGCTCCTGGATGGAGACTAGTCACCCGAAAAGGCCAAGCCATCATTAGAAGCTTGGAATTTTCAGCCCCGTCCCTATATTCAAGAGAGGGGAGAGGGGCTAGAAATGAGAATTATAATTGATCATGCCTATGTGAAGAAGCCTCCATAAAGTCCCAATGGTACAAGGTTCAAGAAGCTTCTAGGTTGGTGAACACATCTATATTGTGAGGGTGACACACCACAACTACACGGGGACAGAAGTTTCTGTGCTTGGGACCCTCCCAGACCTTGCCCTATGTATCTCTTCATCTGGCTGTTCATCTGTATCCTTTAATAAAGGGGTCCCCAACCCTGGCCTGCAGACCAGTACCAGTCCAGTACCGGTCCATGGAATGTTAGGAACTGGGCTACACAGCAGGAGGTGAGCGGCAGGCAAGCGAGCAATGCTTCATCTGTATTTGCAGCTGCTCTCCAGCAGTAGCTAGCATCACCGCCTCAGCTTCACCTCAGATCATCAGGCATTAGATTCTCATAGGAGCACTGGTCCCTGGTGCCAAAAAGGGTGGGGATCACTGCTTTCATAAACTGGTAAACATAAGTATATGTTGGACTGAGTTTTTCTATTACAACAGGACAAACTGAAATAAAGGCTTGACAGGTACACCAGCATATTTAACGTGCAACATAAAGTCACTGCTGTTATTAAGAGCAACCAAAACAGAATAAACAGTCGGAATCTTTGGGTCAGGTATGTGGTTTTATTGTGCTGATGTTTAACAATTTGGCTATCAGGCAGGAAAATGCCAGTTTATCAAATTTAGTTTTTTCAAGATCATAAATGGAGTCAGTGAACTCAACATCTACGGGTTAGTGAGATGGAGATACTCTAAACATTCATTCCCTGGAGGAAGAAAAGATCTAAGTCTGACCAGCTAGGGAGTTTTTCATCAAATTTCAGATACCCGTGTTATCACATTTAGTATCAATGAAATCAATGTGATCAATAGCATGTCATAATTTGACTGGCAAAATATTTTTTTCTATGCAGAACATACATAATCGATGGCATCTTACATTTGGTGAAATATGGCATATCTCCTACAAAGTGCTGCCAGAGTCATGTTTCAAACACACAAATATCCTATTACTTTTCTACTTCAAATTTTCTGGAACCAAATTGCACAGCAGGGCACACAGGCCCCCTATAATCTGGCCCCTCCCCTTACTCATCCAGTTCAATCCTGCCTCCCCCTCCTGCTAGATATGGTGAACAGTGAGGATAACCCCTTCTTCAAGGCCCTTGTACATGCTCTTTTCTCAGTGTTTGTCCTTGAAGGCCCAAATCAGATGTGCCCCCTGATCTGTGAGGTCCTTCCTGTGCCCATCCCATGTCCAAGAGGAATGACTCGCTCCCTCAGTTAGGCCCTGCAGCTCTCTGCTTACACTGCATTTCCATTACAGCACCTTCACACTGCTTTATAACCACCTCCCCCACCCAACGAGAACATGAACGCAGGGTTATTTCTCTTTATATCTCCAGCATCTGGCACAAAGTAGGTGGTCTCTAAATGTTTGCGAAACTAAACGTTATCCATGATTCCAGAGCCCCATTAGCTTCTTCATTCTCCCCCTTCACCAAACTCCCCCTTCCCACTTTACTATCTTGCTTCAGCAGAAGGCTCCAAGGGCTCCCCTCATTTTAGACATTCTTGACCACAAACATTACCCAGATCTCCCCCACCTCCCTCCACACACAAAGGTTTGTTTGTTTGGCTGGGGGTTTTTTTTGGCGGC